GTCGAGGTAATAGAACCTAGGGGGCAGTTGTGGGGATATATTTTCTGAGTACCAACACAATGGCAGGTGACGCGACGTGTCAGCCGAGGTGCCACGTGTCTTGGTTCGTGACGCCGAGGTGATCCGACAAGGCCAAGGTTTTCTCGAATATATCGGAATCCGAGATGAGCGGATAAAGGACAAGAGTCCTAGAATGAAGAGGGAACTCAACTTGGATATGGACCAAGAGTCCTAGATTGGGAGAAGACTTCAGTTTGGGTAAAGATAAGACTCTTAGAGAGTTTATCCTAATCCACTGGGAGTCCAGATTAGCATAATCTAATCCATTAAGGCCAAGCTCCTTTTGGGACTAAGATTTGTATTGGCTATAAAAAGAAGAGCACCCCCATGGGTCTAAGGTTATGCTTTTGATACTCAAGCTTGTGAGTTTAGTACTTGATTTATCTTTGAGAGATATACTGACTTGATCGTCGGAGTGCCCCCGGGTGGTCGAAACCACCGCGGGATTCTTATATTTCTGTTGCAGGTCCGTCAGGTGCCATCTATTCAGCCAGTGCTCTCCAGCTGGTTACTAAGCGGGCAGTGTGGTCGGAAAATCACCCTTATACTATATATATATATATATATATTTTTTTTTTTTCTTTCTAAACTTTGAAAGAAATTGTTCTTATTAACCTATTTTACATAGGATCACACAGTGACAACAATTTTCATATGTCATTAGCAAATCTGTTTGTATTTAGCTTTCAATTGTTAAAATTTTCTACACATAAAGTATTAAGACTCAAAATTAATTTTCCATTTTAAAAATAAATTTCCGTGCATCGCCCGGGTCACTTACTAATATCTCATATTTTAAATTTTTTTAAGTCTTTTTCTCTGGGCATTAAGAAAATTGTTGACAAGTTGAGGTGAAAAGACTTAAGGTTGTTTTAGGTATGATTTATAAACTGATTTTTTGTTTATTATGAAAGGGTAATTATATTTGCACACTACAAGCTATCTCAATGTACACCATTTACTCAGTGCACATTACACACAATTTTTACTCTTTTTTTTTTTTTGGCTCAATGCATATCATCATCAAATTTTAAATATTCTCAAAATATCCTCATCTTCATCAACCCCGACTTTAACCCTAACATCTCTTCACCACCGCCATCACCACTAAGCTACAACCGTTGGCGTCATCCTTCCGAACCCTTTTTTGTCGCCGCCTTTCTTTTTTTGACATCATCTCCCTTCCCATCTTCTACCCCCAACTCCTGTACAACTCCCTACTCCATTGTTATACCCTCACACCTTCCCTCTCCCCCTATTTTGATGCACCACTACCACAACCATCATCCATTGCAACCCCCAACTCGCAGAGAGAGAGAGAGAGAGAGAGAGATTCGTCATCGCGAAAGAGGGAGATCGGCCACGAAATAGAGAGGCAGATCTGGGGTTTCAACCATCGGTGAAAAAGAAAAATAAAAAGAAAGAGAAAGAGGTGGAGCAGCGAAATAGGGGTTGTGGAAGGTCGGCATTGGTACTGGTGCCAATCGGAAGTTGGAGGTGCGGGGGTTGCAATGGTGGTTGCTGTTGGTATATCTATTAGAGTTTAGGATTTTGTCTAAAAAAATAATTTAACTTAGGGACACAATTGTAATAATAAAAAATTTGAGAGATGATGGGTACTGAGCAGAATAGCGTAAGTATAATTACCAATTATGAGAAGATATGTAGAAAAAAAAAATGTGATGTGACTCAAATAAGTTAATAAGTCAATAACTTGGCCTTTTTAATTGACCCGGAAAGAGACCTAATGCCTTGTTTGGAAAACTAATATTTTAATTAAAAATTCAAAAAGATACTATAAAAACATGAACTATTTATTTTTATTTTTTTTACATGTTATAAAAAATAAATAAAAAATTACTAAAATCAGCAACCACTCAACTTGGTAATTATTCAGTAATTTCGGAATATGAACACGTAATTTTTCATAATATTAAGATTGATAGAAAATGTGGGTATGTGAGATATTATGTTAAATGATTAAAAAACATGATAAAACATATTAAATAATGATTAATTAAGAAATACAAATGCGTAGTACTCCAAAAATATTGAATAATTTCTCCAATTAAACTTCTAACTTCCAATTCCAACGAATTGCATACTCGTTTTTTTTTTTTTTTGAGCAGAACGAATTGCACACTCAAGATAGGATAAACAGAGGTACATCCGCGTCACAAACGCGTATTAAGACAAAACTTTCAAAACTTAGACTGCAACAACAATAACAAGAAGGAGAAAAATAAAATAAAATCATGTCACTCACTAATTGGAATCAGTCAATCACCATTCAACGAAATTAATGGGTGTCCTCTAATTTCCCATTATTTTCTCCACTTTTCACTCAACAACTCTATAAACCCACCCACCACCACACATTCTTCCATTTCTCAGCCCCATTTTGCCAAATCCTTTTTCCATCACCATAACCTCTCTTTTCTAGTCTATTATAATTCTTTTCTACCATGTAAACTCCAGGTCCATTTTCTTTGTTCCCTCACATTATATCCCAAACACGACCACATCATTCCTCATTCTTTTTTGTTTGGTTTTGTTGTTGTTGGTTTTGATTTTGGTTTGGTTTTAAGTTTGTTTATATATATAGCTTAATGAGATATGGACCCAGGTGAGCTACGTCGGGTTTTTCAAATGTTTGATCAAAATGGGGATGGAAAGATAACCAAGAAGGAGCTTAGCGACTCGTTAGAGAACTTGGGCATATTCATTGGAGATAAAGAACTTGTTCAGATGATTGAGAAGATTGATGTGAATGGAGACGGGTACGTTGATATTGACGAATTTGGGGCATTGTACCAGACGATAATTGAGGAGAGAGACGAGGAGGAGGATATGAGAGAAGCATTCAACGTGTTCGATCAAAACGGTGATGGGTTCATCACTGTGGATGAGTTGAGGTCGGTGTTGCAATCGCTAGGGTTGAAACAAGGGAGAACCCTAGAAGATTGCAAGATGATGATAAAGAAGGTGGATGTGGATGGGGATGGGATGGTCAATTACAAGGAGTTCAGACAGATGATGAAGGGTGGTGGTTTTGCTGCATTGAGTTCAAGCTGATATGATAGAAAACAAGAAAAACAAAAACAAAAACAAAGAAAACACACAAACAAAAGATGTACAATGTAATATGAACTTTTGGAATATAGAGGGGGAGATGAGGAGGAAAGGGAATCTTTTGTTGGAGACTTCTTGTATCATGTATCATGTATGTTTGTAATGAGTACAACCACCCCATGCATAATTGTGGATTTTCATATTATCACAACCTTTATATAGTGGCTTTTGATGTTTTTGTTTCATATAGTCTTTGTGATTTGAATTCTAATGTGTACTCTACAATAACTTTCATATTGCTAGTTTTTAATATTCTAATTTTTGTAATTTGGATTGTATGAGTTTTAATCCTGCTTGACCTTTCAAAATTATTTGTGTGACATGTTTTTAATATGGCTACCCTTAGGGTGGATAAAGATTCACCGCCACGCATTCATGATTTATTACATGTGAGATTATACTTTAGATTTGTTGAATTGAACTAGTTACAATTTTTAAGTTTGACTATAAATATTGATAGAATTGGTTTTAATTTTGAGTAAAAGGAGGCCTTATCTTTCAATCTTTGTTTAAAACCTAAGAAAAATATACTTATTTTAAAATTTTAGAAAGAGGAAAAATCTTATATTGTTTAAAGATCAAAAAAAATAAAAATATTTCATTGTCAAAGGTTTTCAATCATAAATGCTTGAAAAACATGTTTTTGTTCGAAAGGCCCATAGTATACTTCTTTGTATAAAGGGCCCAATTGTAAAGGGCCCAATTGTAAAGGTCAAAGGAGAACAAAAATTTCTCATTTAGATCATAATAACTTGAATACATTATATGGAAATTTTAGTGAAAATCTCCTAAACCTAATATGTTAGTGTGTAAAGGATAACTCAAAATATTTTACTTCCTAAATCTCCTATGCAAAAAATGTGTTTTTCATCAAGGACAAATAAATATGTTTCATATTTCTTTGGATAATTTTATCCTATCATATATATATATATATATGAGAAGTCGAAACTTCTTCATCAATCTCCTTTTTTTTTCTCTTTGAAAAACATAGACAAAGAGAGAAGAAGGAGAAGACGACAATTGATGAGAGAAAGAAGAACACAGGAAGAGCTAGTACGAAAGACATATGACCGGAGCCATCCACCGTCTATCGTTTGTGGCAGCACGATCCGCCGGAGCCCTCAATAGAATCCCTCATCGCTCTAAATTTATTATCATTTCTAGATTTCTTACAAACATTAATAGTGGTTAGAGAGAAAGAGATGCAAAATTTATTGTATAAATTGATTATATGAATTGATATTCTACAATGTGTCACTTATGTGTCATTTTCAATTAGCACAAAGAGAGTTTTTGAAGCTTTTGAAGCTGCTATTGAGTATTTTACGAGCATGTATGGGTTTTAATTTTTAAAAGTAGTGTAAATTCACATGTAGGGAGGGTCATACTCTATTTTTTTTTTTTGTTGATGTTCTGCTCAAAACTAGTATGGGTTTTAATTTCTAAAAGTAGTGTAAATTCACATGTAGGGAGGGTCATACTCTATTTTTTTTTTTTTTGTTGATGTTCTGCTCAGAACTAATAGTAAAATATTACTGTTTACGTCAATTTCGCCGATAATATATATATATATATATTTAAGAATTTCATAACCAACCTGAATCTTATTTGATAAATCTTAATGATAAAATTCTAAAAATATTAATTTTATTAAAATTAAAATCTAAATTAAAAATTATATCATTTTAAAATTTAAAAATATTGAATTAGTTACTAAAAATATTTTAATAATAATAGAAAAACTTTTGGGGGCCTATGTTTGTGAATTTAAAACCCCATATATATGGGCCTCATAAAACCGACTAATGAGAAGCCCATAACAAAGAAACTCTCTCTCTGTCCAGCGTTGCTCAGATAACACTCCTCAGTGGAGGTAGAAGCAAATGGCGACGAGGGCTGTCTGTAAATCGCAACAGCTCAGATATCTCTTCTTCACTCCCACACTAAACAAATTCATTCTTCACAAACCCAGGTATTCTCTCTCTCTGTCTCTCTCTGTGTGTTGTTGTCTCACCATTTTTGGGATATGGTTATGGCATTCAATGTACTTTCTTGATTGTCTCCAAGACTTGTTAATCCTGCAGCTGTCTCCAAAACCCAATTCTTAGATTTCTTGAACTCTTTCTGAATTTTTGTTGCCCTTTTGGAACATTTTATACTAGTATTGCCGAGGAGTGTGGGGTTATTTTTGATGAATCGCATTCAATTTGCCCTATGATCCCCCTATCTGAAGGAACATCTTGGTTTAAGGTGCCTTTGGGCTGACACTGATCGCATTTGAGACTGACATTTGATGATCTGAAAACTGGAATTGATACTTTTAGTCTAGGAGGTACTGGTGCAGTGCTGATTTGCAGATTCATTTATTCCTAATAATGATTTATGAAAATTTTGCTTAATTCGAACTAAAATCTTATCTAGCCAATGCATTTGTTTTTAGTACACATAACAAAAATGGGGTTGGGTGTGAACGAAGAATTTTTAGGTTTGCATTGAGTTTTATGTTTGTGATTGAAGGAAATGTATGTTTTGCCAAAGTTACTAGTTCTCTCTTTGATTACTCTTGTCCGAGGTCTGATTGAGTTTCAAAAGTTTTATTCTACTTATATGCTGTGAATCTAAAGCAGCTTAAATATGATGTCTGCAATTCTTTTAAAGCTATGTTAAAATAATCTCATTGTGCAGTAGCTTCTCTGATGTTGTATGCAAGGTTTCCAATTGGGGATCAGCTTCTGTGCCACTTTTTGAAATAAGGTCGTCGCCCCTTTGGGGTACTCTATGGATTCATTCAGGTCGGTTTCTGAACATGGTTGACAAAGTTGTGGAGCAGCCAGAGCACTCTGGAAGCAGCACAGTTGCTAACGGTGCTGGTGAGGTTAAAAAGAAGAGTAAGAAACTGAAGGGAAAAAGAGCAGTTGTCAGGTGGTTAAAGTTATTCAGGTTTAAGAAAAAGAAAGAGTATGAAAGAATGACAGCAGAAGAGAAAATTCTGTACAAAATGAGGAAGGTAAGTTAGTCCTTTTTATGCTTATATACATTTGTCTAGTGGGTACACGCTACACAGCAAAGGCAGTTTACCACCATGTTGTGATGCATGTTTCATTACTGTAGGAATCTTCGATTCAAATAGTTCTTTTTATTGTCCTACCTTGGAAATCATCTGTGTTTCCCTTTGGGCTGTTTATTTACTTACTTGGGTGCTGCTTACCATTTTGCTGCATGGTGTCACACAAGTTTGGAGCCCATCAAAGTTGTCTTAGTCACTGGCCTGTATATGGTGTTCATTCAGGTTTAAACTAATTTTGAATTTTTTTAGAGTATTCTCATTGTTTTTGCGTACTTTAGACAATCATTAGGTTAAATTTGACCATACCTCGCAAATTCCGTAATTTAGTTGCTCATGTGCAGATTGGTTAATAGGCTAATTACCTTGTTTCTTGGATGATAAGTCTGGTATGGCATCTCTGTGGTAGAAGCCATATAACCATTGATTATTTCTTAACCAACTTCCTGTGCTTTATAATAAGATTATGTATTCCTCTGTAATATCTCATGCCTAGTGAGTTATCAGGAACTCTATGGCCACACCTTGTGCTTGGTTGGTCTGCAATGTAACATTGTAGGCTGTCTTTTTATGGGTTCTCTGTGAGGATATTAGGTTAGATTTATACATATGGTATTGTAACACAATTGAATATATAGATTTATTCAGAAGTCTTACATGGTATCAGAGCAAGTTGAGAAATCCTAGTGCCGTCGATCTCTCTTTCTCTTAGACCTGGTTGTTGATTGAAGCTCTTTGCTTCATCGATTGTCAGTCGTGAGTCTTCTCCTTGGCTCAATCTAGTTCGCGATCTCTCTCTTTCTCTCAAACCTGGTTGTCAGTCAAAGCTCCTTGCTTCATCGATCGTTTGGTTCGTCTGGGTCTGATTCATCTGATTCGTGGCTCACTTGGTTTCGATTGAAGGCTCATTTGTCCGTATCGAAGCTTCGAAACTCCTTATCTTTTGTCGACGATTGTTGGTCTTCTCTTTCGATTTTGATCGCGATCGTGAGAATTCTTCCTCACCCCTGTTTGAAGCTCTTTGCTTCATCGATTGTCAGTCGTGAGTTTTCTCCTTGGCTCAATCTAGTTCGCGATCTCTCTCTTTCTCTCAAACCTGGTTGTCAGTCAAAGCTCCTTGCTTCATCGATTGTTTGGTTCGTCTGGGTCTGATTCATCTGATTCGTGGCTCACTTAGTTTCAATTGAAGGCTCATTTGTCCGTATCAAAGCTTCAAAACTCCTTATCTTTTGTCGACGATTGTTGGTCTTCTCTTTCGATTTTGATCGCGATCGTGAGAATTCTTCCTGACCCCTGTTTCTCTCTCAGCTTCGACCTCCTTTAGTCTCTCTCTAGTTCTCGATTTGATTTGGTGATTCTCAATACTGTTCTCAAACTCTACCTGCGTATTACACTTGACACCCTATTTTAGATTTATTACACTAAAACCCCAAAAGTTTTCTATTTATTATAATCTGCCCCTATCAATTTTCTTTTTTTGTTGGTTTATTACAATGCCGGCCGGATGATAAGATTGCTAGGCCCAAAAATAGGTCATTGGCTTCAGATAAGTGTGCCTTTTGCCATCAGAGGGGTCACCGTAAGTATCACTGCCCTAAGAAGGGATTTCTGTTTGCCTCATCTTCTCAGCAGTCTCAGACCTAGTTTTGTCCTTTTCCTTTGAGTAATTTTCGGGCTCCCACCGTTTATACTGCATTCACTCCGGTTCTTAATCCTGACTTGGCTTCCTGGAGTGCTCTGATTGCTCAATTTCAGCATATATTGTCTACCTTCCAGCCTTCCCCGTCTACCTCAGTTGTTTTCTCTCTTCATTCAGGTTTGCTTGGGTCTTCTTCAGGTATCTCTTCGTCTGTCCGGATTTTTAACTCTAGTGCCTCTCATCATATGATTCCTCATCTCTTCTTACTCCAAAATTGTACTCCTTCTCCCTTTCCTATTATTGTCAATGCTGCTAATAGGTCTGGTATGTCTGTTATATCTGTTGGGTCTGTCATACCGTTTGCTATCTGTATTCCATTTGTCTTATATGTTCTTCAGTTATCTGTCAGTTTATTATCTATCAGTTAGTTTGATGTCTCTGATTTTGATGTTATCTTTTCTTCTTCTATCTATTCTGTGTAGGATCGGATGTCTAAGCGGCAAATTGGGACTGTCCGTAGAATTGAAGACCTCTATGTGGTGGAGAGCTTGCATCTGCATATGACTACCTCTCCGACTGCATTTTTCTCTTTTCAGTTAGATTCTCTGTCAAGTCCTTTCTATTTATGGCATTCTAGATTAGGGCATTTGTTAGTTAATCGCTTACGTTTTTTAGCTCAATTAGGTATATTGGATAAAGTTTCTCCTAGTCAACTTAACGAGTGTCAGGAGTGTAAACTTGCCAAAATGACAACTTTACCTTTCCGTTAAAGTACTTCTATATTTGATACACTGTTTTATTTAGTTCATACTGATGTCTAGGGTCTTTCTCCTATTCTCACTAAAGGGAGTTCTGCATGCTGTGTGTCAATTGTTGATGACTGCATTCGTTACACTTGGATTTATCTTATGACTCATAAGTCTGACTTCTACTAGATATACCTTACTTTTCAGTCTATGGTCACTACACAGTTTAGATGTACTATTAAATTATTACGGTCTGGACTTGGGTGGAGAATATTTTAAAACTGAGTTCTGTGAGTATTTAGCCAATTTAGGTACCATTCACCAGACTTCCTGTATTGATACACCTGCCCAAAATGGTCGCGCTGAACGTAAATATCGTCATCTTCTTGAGACAGTTAGGTCTCTCCTTCTTTCTGCCTCTGTTCCGGCTCCGTTTGGGGTGAGGTAGTTTTTATTGCTATTTTTCTTCTCAATCGTATGCCTGCTCCCCTTCTCTCTGGTCGGTCTCTTTATGAGACTCTATTATCTCAACTTTCCAATTACTTCCTTTTTCGTGTGTTTGGGTTTGCTTGTTTTATCCTTTTACCTCGTAAAGATAGGACCAAACTGAGTGCTCGGTCTATCTTGTGTGTCTTTTTGGGTTACAGTTTCACTTAGAAAGGTTATCATTGTTATGACTCTGTTTCTTGTCGCCTATATGTCTCTCTCCATGTTGCCTTTCTTGAACGTCTACCTTACTTTTAACTTCCTCCTCTCATAGCACCAGTTTTCAAAGAGGATTTGGTTCATATTGATACATTTCCTTCTGAGGTCCCTCTTGATGAGTACATCTCTGTTGTTCCTAATGAGCTTGTTCCTTCTTCTTGGTGAGTCTCTCTCTCTTGACCCCCATGAGTCTGTTCCCTCTTCTCCTCCTCGTTTTCCCCCACCTGCTCCTTTTCCTCTTCCGTTGTTAGTTTATTCTTGTTGCGAGGCTCTTCCTCCTCCAGTTGTCTCTGCCTCTACTGCTGATCTCCCTGCTTCTGACGATTCTGATCTTGCTAACCGTAAGTATCATCTTCGCATTCATAAACAGGTAGTCAAACTTGATTTTGCTAAAACATGTTTTTCTCTTTCATGCTGTACTTTTTTGTTTGTTATTCACTCTTTTTTAGAACCCCAGTCTTATAAGGAGGCTTGTCAGGATCCTAATTGGGTTCGAGCTATGGAGGATGAGCTGTCTACTTTGCAGAAGACTAATACTTGGGAGTTAGTTTCGTTGCCCGCTGGCAAAAATTTGGTTGGTTGCAAATGGGTCTATAAAGTCAAGACTCACTTTGATGGTTCTCTTGAGCGTTACAAAGCTCGCTTGGTTGCCAAATGTTTCTTCTAGGAGTATAGTATTGATTATGAGGAGACTTTTGCCCCTGTTGCCAAGATGATTACTGTTCGTTCTTTGATTTCTGTTGCTATTATTCGTCATTGGCCTCTTTATCAGATGGATGTTAAGAATGTTTTTCTTAATGGCCATCTCATTGAGGAGGTTTGCATGCATCCTCCCTTTGGCCTTCACCATTCTACTAGATAGGTTTGTCGTCTTCGGCGTGCTCTGTATGGTCTGAAGCAATCTCCTTGTGCTTGGTATGATAGCTTTCAAAGTGCTGTTACTGAGTTTGGATTTCATCTTTCTGCTCAGGACTTTGCTTTGTTTCTCCTCCACACCTCTATTGGTTTTGTTGCCTTGTTACTGTATGTGAATGATATGATTATTACTGGCTCTAATTCTTTTGTTATCTCTGAGATCAAGCAGCATCTCTTCCGCACTTTCGAAATGAAGGATTTGGGCCCATTACGGTACTTTCTTGGTATCGAGGTGGCTTCTTCTCTCAAAGGCTACTTTCCGTCTCAGGCCAAGTATGCTAATGAAGTTATTCACCGTGTTGGTCTTACTGACAGTAAGATTGCTGATATCCCCATTGAGTTTAATGTGAAACTTAATACTACTGATGGTGTTACTCTGCCTGATCCTACTTTATATCAAGAGCTTGTGAGTTGCTTAGCCTATCTGACAGTTACTCGTCCTAATATTGCCTATGCTGTTCATGTGGTCAGTCAATTCGTTTTTACTCCTTATTCTACATATTGAGCTGCTTTGGTTCAGATTTTTCGCTATCTTCGCGGTACTATCTTCCAAGGATTGTTGTTGTCCTCTACTTCTTTCTTGGCTTTAGTAGCCTATGTTAATGCTGATTGGGCTGGTGATGTTACTGATCATAAGTTCACTTTTGGTTTCTGTATGTTTTTTAGCGATTCCTTGATTTCTTAGAAAAGTAAGAAACAAATTGTTGTTGCCCGTTCTACTGCCGAAACTAAGTATTGTGCTATGACTCATGCTACTACTGAAGTTTTTTGGCTTCGTTATCTTCTCTCTGATTTGGGCGTCCCTCAGCCTTCTCTGACCTCCCTCTATTGTGATAACTGTAGTGCTATTCAGATTGCCCATAACACTGTCTTCCATGAGCAGACAAAGCACATTGAGATTGATTGTCACTTTACCCGTCAGCATCTACAGTCTGGCTTTATCTCGGTTCCTTTTATCTCTTCGGCCTTGCAACTTGCTGACTTCTTTACCAAGACTCACACCATTACTCGGTTTCAATTTTTTCTTGGCAAACTATCAATGTTTTCTGCTAAAACACCTTGAGTTTGAGCGGGATGTGAGAATATTAGGTTAGGTTTATATATATGGTAGTGTATATTGTGTATATATATGGCAGTGTTTTCTTTTCTTTTTTAGTCTTAGGGTTAGGATTACTATATAATCAGATGTATTCTTTGTATTATAACACAATTGAATATTTATATATATATATATATTTATTCAGAAGTCTTGCATTCTCATGTTGATATTTTATGTTGCATGAGCTATTTTATATGCAGCTTTTATTTTTAAATTCAGAAAATTCAACATAACTTTAACACCAAACTAATAACTGAAGCATAATTATGTCAGAAGAATATCTTGTTAAAATATATATATATATATTAAATGATGCAACTTTAGCTATCCTTCCAACATTTTACTTGATGAAATGTCCCAAATCATGTGCTGTGCTCACAAATAATCTCTTCAAAACGGGAAATGGAAATGGTAGAATTCCATTGGTTATGGCCCTGAAACATCTCTATCCAGTCTGCAAACTTGGATATGGTAGAATAGATGAGACAAAATTGAGCAGGTCTGCTTCATTCATTTTTGGTTGTTATAGATGTGAGAAAATTATTTACGATGATTCTTTATGCCACAATTCTTAGACTTCGTATTAGGGTTGATTCATGGTCCAAAAGAAATCAAACTGTTTTCTTTTTAATTACACCTCAAACTGTTTTTGACAGTCCAGCACTATACCTATACATGCGTCTTATGGTGGATCCTGGAATCTTTTTATTCCAGGCTCGAAAGAAAGAGGAAAGGTACGTTGAAGCTCTCAAGAAGATTGAACCAAAAGAGTCATCAGAAACAACCCATGATCCAGAGATATTGACTCCAGAAGAACACTTCTACTTCTTGAAGTTGGGAATCAAGAGCAAGAATTATGTGCCGGTTGGGAGAAGAGGAATATACCAGGGTGTAATCTTAAACATGCACTTGCATTGGAAGAAACACCAAACTCTGAAGGTGGTGGTGAAGACATTTTCACCAGAGGAGGTCAAGGAGATTGCTGCAGAGCTAGCAAGATTGAGTGGAGGGATTGTGCTTGACATTCAGGAAGAGAACACTATAATTATGTACAGAGGGAAGAACTACTCTCAGCCACCAACAGAGATAATGTCGCCTAGGAGCACTCTCTCTAGAAAGAAGGTTTTTCTCTGTTCCTTTTTCTTTTTTATTTTTACGAGTAAAACAAGTTGTATTAAATAGAAGCATCAAAAGGGTATGATGCCCATGACCACTAGAAAAAGTGAGGTCTATACATTCAAAAAAATAAAATAAAAAAGGGTCCTACTACTAAGAAATCCATCCCTAATTTGACAGATACCCTTCAAAGCCCTCCTACTATGTTACACAGTCAATTCTGAACGAGTCCAAATCACTCCCAGAACAGCCATGTCTGACCATCACCACCCTTCCCCAAATTCTGTCCACTCACATAAATCTCCAAAACCACTTGTCTGGAAGAGCTTTATTAAAATTCCCATTCCCATTCTCCTAAGCACGCATACCTCCTTTCCTCACCTGGGTACAGACCATATCCAAGTCCACAAGATGGTATTTGAACTCTTGCCCAACACCACCCCTTCCGAAATTTCCACTGCAATTTTTTCTAGCCTCCTTGCCTCCAAAACAGAATAGTATGGAAGGACAAGGCTCCTTCCCTGACCGGCATATACAGATTTCTATGAATATGTAGCATATCAACTGACGTTATTTCCAGTTGCTGAAGTATAAAAGCTTTTGAGCGGGTATAGAACACACAAAAATTAAAATTAATTTTGTCTCTCATCGAATCTGTGATGATTCTCAACAAAAATTGCGTTTGAACACTAGACAATGTGTTCCTGATCAAATTGGCTGTGACACATGGCTTTGTTGTGTTGAATTCAGTTCACTTGGCAGTCAAAATAATGAAATTGACCTTTTTAAATAATTATGGGTAACTACAGTTGAGTGTGATCATTCCAGTTTTTTGCAGTCCCCCAAACCCCTTTATTTTCATTTCATTCTTAGTCGTATACTAACCATGTGGAGAATTGTTAGATTTGGCATCTTCAAACAGAAATGCAACGTCACTGTAGATCTTATTCAGTTCTAATTTAGGGGTTGTTTGGGATGACCTAAATAAGTACAATTTTTGTCTTTTTACGAAAAGATGTGCAGAAAAGTAGAGAGATGATGTGATGGAAAAAAGATAAAAAGATAAAAAGTGTGTACTTATTTTGAGTTGCCAAACTTGGCTTTAATTGAACTTCGCTCTTTGTTCTCATTTTGTTTCCCTCTTATACAGGCTTTGGATAAATCCAAGTACCGGGATGGCCTACGATCTGTTAGGAAATATATTCCAAGACTTGAACAGGACCTTGAGCTGCTTCATGCAAAAGCTGAAAATAAAACTAATATTGTGGAAGAAACCCTCTCAACTGGCATTGACAGCGTTGACTCTGGAAACATTTCTAAACTGCAGTTGGGGGATTCTGATAAGTTGAAATTGCTAATGGCTAAAAATGAAGAATGCCCCGAGTATGACCCTGCATCCGAATCAGGCATGTGTTCAGATTCTGAAGATCTGTCAGATATTTTTGAAACAGATTCTGACACTGAGAATGAGAAGAAGACAGAACGACCTCTTTACTTGGATGAGTTTGAAAAGCTCCTGGTACAAACTGATGAAATGGAAGATTTTGAGGAGCACCTGAGTCAAATGTCTGCAGACCCGGTAAAGGGCAAATCGGTGGGGAAAGATGAAGAGTTACCAGACCTCGATGAGGTCGATCAGATGTTTCTACAAGCTGCTTCTCTTTTGAAGAAAAAAAGAAGTAAAAGATAGTATTTGTCATAGCTGATAGATTTTTTTGTACTCCCATTTTCTTTGAAAGGTGCTAACATTTTCTGTACATGCTAGAGTTGAAATGTTCAGCATTTGAGTAGCTAAGAGGACCTTGTACTATTTTAAATTTTAACTCCTACTTTTCTCAGACAAGATGGTCGTACATTCTCTTATTATCATTTTTACCAAATCACGTCTCTTATTACGCATTTATTTTTTTGGGTTGAATGCTTAGCCGCATGGAACCATACCAAGTTCCCAGAAGAAGGAACCTTGCAGACGAGAAAAAAAATCCTCCAAAATTTTCAAATCGCATCCCTCCCCTAGTCACTAGTTGAGTTTGAACAAATCCTTAAGTCCTCACCCTCCCTGCTTTGTTCCAGTAACTGCAACTTGGTAACCAAATGAACCGTAGGCTCCAAAAGTCATCCTTTTGATAATGGCATGCATATATACACTTGCTCATGTGCCTTCCTGTATTTATAAAAGACATGCTAAAATTACAAGTGATACTAAGAGCAGAACAACTTTAAACTTCAGTGCATCTTTCTGTTCACCAACCCCATCAAGGGACTCAATATGCACATTCCTCCCATAACTTACCCAGTTGCTAATTTGCTAGCCGTACTGGTTCATATCATGCGGAGCTGCCTCAGTGGTGTATACAGTCTTATCGGAAATTGTTGGGAACCTTAAATTGAACTTGGCAGGCAATACAGACAAGATCAAACAGCTGTTTAGATAATTCAACTTCTGAAATTCAATAGATTAAGGTGCAGACAGTGACAGTTCAGATGCAATGCTACTTTATCCTGTAACGAGATTCCTAATATGGTTACATGTATACCAAGATATTAAATTGTTTGTTCTTTTGCCCGGTTAAATGGCACTCACAATGAGCATGTGGCTTGCCCTGTTGGTAGGGCCTTTGATGCCAACTCTAGGAGCACGTATGGTGTTAGGGCCTTTGATGCCAGCTCTAAGAGAGCAGATTGTTCCATTACGAGGAATGGGAACAGAGGCATGGTATGCCACACTTTTCTTCCCATTAACAACTTCAGCTACCTTAACTACTACACAAAATAACTTTAAGCCAAAACATCTGCTTTGTCAACTTTAATACTTGCCAACTTTCCTGACAAACCACCATCAAAACTGGCCGTGTTACAGAAATGAAAGCACCATCTTTGTTCCTCATTCTTTAATTTAGCTGCACTAATGTACAAAGGAAAAAAAATTAGAAAAAGAGACAACAAAACAAAAAAGAAAAGAAGAAGCTCAGAGAACAACATATACTTTATGCATCTTACAGAAAAGGTTATTTATATAATAAATACCAATCAAACTAAGAATCTAGCAATAAGATAAATATTTGCACTTAAGTTCATTGAAATACATGCTACATAAGAATATCAAGCAGACAGATTACCATGCATACTCACTCTTGGAGCAGAGGCTAATGGTGGTGCGGAGCGTTGGGTACTTCAGTTTCTAATTCTCTCACATTATTAACAACATCTTGGATTTTTGTTGACAGTACTTCAGTTTGTTCCTCAACTTTTTTCAAAAATGTAATTATCTGCTCTCTATATAGGTCGCATAACTGATCCTGGCGCTCCAACTCCATAGTGAGTTCTTGGATTCTCCTATCCTTGGTGTCCTACAAAAGCAAATTGCACGGCACGATCATACTAATTTATATATATATATGGAAATAGGTTAAATATGCCATCTTTAAGGAGTGCATGCAACCTCAGAAATCTATGTAAATTAGGTTGAAGCAAAATATGCTTCATAGCCAAATGCATAAATAACAGAGATGCCATTGAAACAGAGGACCAACTAGAGGTAATATATATCAAATGTGCATTGGATAAAGCTTGAGCACCAAACAAACTAATATCTGAAGGCAAGCTAATGCAGAATGCACTGACACAGCTCCTATCCCCATTTTTCCAACATACAGAATTAGCCAGGTTACTTAAAAACAAGAAAAGGCAAAAATCACTTCAGAATACCTGAACTGTTGTCGTATATGTGTGGAAGTCGAGGGTGTATGGAAGCAAATTCCAAAACAAATAGCTTTCACATGGTATTTGGCAGTCACTATTGAGATGATTTATCACACATATGAACCCATTATATCTTGGAAAGTAGAAACCCTTCTAGATATGAATGAATTCAATGAAAAGAAACATTGTCTAAGAATTTATGTATTATTGATTGATTAATTGATATATATTACAATGATTCATGATTCCTATATATAGAAGAGGGTGAGTGTGTAGTAGGTAAGGAGTAGGTGAAGTGGAGGTGGTAGTGGTGTAGTGGGTTAGGTTTAGTGGAGTAGGTGAGGTGGTAGTGGTGTAGTGGGTTAGGTTTAGTGGAGTAGGTTTAAGTGGGTGAAGTAGGTGGAGAGTAGGTGGATTTTAACACATTGTACAGTAGATCATTGCAAAGATTAACTAATCTGTTGCCTTTAGGATATCTAAAATTCATTTTCAGATGCAGAAAGCACCTGTTTTGGCAGAATGATCATTTGTGTGTGTGTGTGTGAGTGTGTGTGTTTTCCAACGGACAAGGGTTTAGGACCTCTAGCAGATACTATGAAAAATACCAAAGAGGCCACTAAACTGATTTTTCATGAAAAGTTGTTTGCAATAAATAAAACCATAACTTTCCACTCAAAGAAGCAGTGGTCCTGCACTTTCAGGGCAAGAAGGGAAGGGAGCATATATAAAAAATTCCTTCAGCCAATGTTTTAATAAAAGACCTTGGGATGCTTAAACAACCTGTGTCATACTCCAAATAAAAGCTAAAGCGACTTTACCTGAAACCTATACAGGTGGGTAGCTAGAGAACAAATAGGTTGGCTGAAAGCTGGTTATTTGACATAAGAGGACCTAACTTTTTATAGTATAAGGGTAGAGAAACCAATGGCCTGTGGGTTGAATGGCATCACCCCAGCACTCCATAGGGGAGGTTGGGGGTTCAAGCCCGGTGAGAGGTATATAGGGTTTGGTACTTGTGGGGCGCCCACCTATGGGTGAGTTGGGGTTTCTGATGTGGGCTTGTGTGCCCCTTCTGGGAGAAAAAAAAAAGAAAAAGGAGAGAAAGTGCATTTGGCCAATGTTTTAGAACCAGGTGGTAAGGCACAGGAAGCAACCCATGCCATACTTCCAAGAGAACATGAAGAACCTTGAAGAAAAGAAACCTCTATCATAACTAGATCACCTCAATTTTTAGAGGTTCTATAATAATAATAATACATCATTCCAAATTTTGTCAAATGAGGGTCAAGTTTTTTTTTTCTCAATCAATTTTTGTTTTTGTTTGTTTTATTTTGTTACCTTTTTAATCATGTATAAGCTTCATTTGGGTTGAAATTGTAAGCATTGGAGAAGAGGATGGTTCTACAATTCAGCTTTGGCTAAAACAGACCAACCAACCAGAAGATGTGGTATCTGTGGCATACATACATAATTCTAAAAATCAAAGCCTAAGTTTACATATTTAAGTTGGGTAATCTCAGTCTCAGGTCCAGAAGTCCAATATGGATTGGGTTCCATGGTGAGCTAGTCAGTTTAGTTTTATAATGGGTTGACTCATAGATTGATCCTTACAATTCTCCTTTCAGATAAGGTTTTTCATTGTATTTGGTTCAAAAAAGTAGGCGTTAACAAATTAACAAACCTGATATATGCCACTCAAGTAAGAATATAAAATACATGTTACGTGGGCTCTTCTGTGTGAACCTGTGTGTGGCAAGGGTATGCAATACGTGTCCGTGATGTTTAGTTGATCATTTACCCGACAAGCATTCCTAGTAAATGAGTTCACAATATGACAGTACAAAACTCTCATTCTCATATTATGCATAAAATGCTTTACGGGACTTTGTAAGTGCCATTATACCCTAGAATATAAATGAAGTTAATTAAGCAATATGAATATTTAGCCATGCCCTAGTTTCCTTGGACAAAGGAATTAGAAGAAAATCTGCTGCTTAGAAATACCCAAATCTGACACCCATACTCGTTGATGTAACAAAGTCAAAAACAACAATATCATTTAGTTGTTGACAGTTCTTAGTTGCACGAAGCGGGGGCGGGGGCGGGGGCGGGAGCGGGAGCGGGGGAACGTGGCCACTTAGAGGAGTCGTAAATTAAAAGTGGTTATATATTATTTTTATTAATTATATTTTATTTATTATAATAAATAATGAATAATAAATTATGTTCAAATAAATAAAAAATAAAAATTAGATCTTTTATTTTATAAATTTTTTAACTTTTTTTTTATTATATATGATTTAAATAGATTTCTTTTAAATAATTAGATGATTTATTTTATTTATTATATGTTAAAAAGTTAGGAATAATAAATTTTAATAAATAATTTTTTATTTTAGACAGAAGAATTATATTATCTATGACAAATTATATTATATATGATAAATATTATATATATTAAATATAATATATTATATTATATTATATATATATGATAAATTATATTTATATTATATAATATAAAAACGGAGACGGAGAGGGAGAGGGAGGGAGAACAGAGATCGAGAGAGAGAGAGAGAGGGAGAACAGAGACGAGAGAGGGAGACGAACAGAGAGACGAAGCAAACAGAGACGAGAGAGAGAGACGAAGCAAACAGAGGCGAAGAGAGACGAAGAGAAGATCGAGACTGAGAGAAGAGAGAGCGACAAAGACAGTCGAGATCGACCGTGAGAGAAGGTCTCAGCCCTAATCGCGATTCTTTTGCATTTGAAGCGCGATTCTCTCGTATTAGAAGCGCGATTCTTCCTTGGAAGCACAAAATCGCGCTTCTTCCTCAGAAGCATGAGTCCCTTCCACGATTCCTGCTACTAAGTGACAGTTTACCAAAGACAAACACCAAAATTATGGAGGAGACAGCCTCTACAGCAAGAAAAGAGTAAAACTGATACCTAAAATGAGTACAAAGGAAACAAAGTGACGGCAAATCCAAGAGTCAAACTGTCAAGGAACCCCCCCCCCCCAAAAAAAAAAAAAAAAAAAAAAAAACCTTAACCGCTTGATCCCAAGTTCACTGCACTGGTGGCATCATTGACTCCATAGATAATGCAGCCACACTAGATGAATATTTCGTTATCAACTTAACAACAAAATGAGAAACAAAAACTCAAGATTTTAGCCTTCTTCACAGGCCCATGCTCTTGTTTAATTCGTCACAATTGAAAAGGCAAAACAAGCTCCATATCAATAAACCAAAACAAATTCTGTATTTTTATAACGAGAGAATTTTCATAACATAAAATATAGTTTGAACAATGTGATAGTCAGACCAAACTACAATAGCAACCATGAAATTCACAAATATTAATTATAAATTAACATAGTCAATTGGTATTTGGTAGTATACACTCAGTTTTTCACTTGTGAATGAAACTCACCGTGGCATCATGAGAAGGATGACCAGAGATGACTAGCGGATGAGTATGTTCCTTTTCAAATCTTGTTACAGCCCATTTTCCAGCTTTATTCACCTTGACCAACATCATTGCCTTGCAGCCTTCCCTTGTGGTTGATCTTGGTTTCCTAGCAGGCCCAAAGCGGTCTCTCGATTTAACATAGTAACCCTGCTTATTACACGAAAGCCTCCGCGAAAGGATTCTCTTATCAACCTCTGAACGACGGCACTGATCAATGCGCATTACAAATCCTACACGTTTGGCATATTCATCGTAGAATTTCTTGGCAGCTTCTTCAGAGTCAAACTCCATACCAACATATGGTTCCTGAATCACGCCTTCTTCAGATGCACCCAATTCCATTCTGACCGAGCTATCCACATTACCATCTCCAACATCCAATTCCACTGTTACACAATACCATGTCCTATCATATTCAATGCCATCAAATATTCTGTGTGTGTGTGTGTGTGTGTGTATGAATTACAAAAATACATGTAACAACCACTATCACAGATCCAACACTAAAGTTTGCTGTCACACAAGATCATATCATATTATCTTGAACCCTCTATATTTATTAATCAGTCAAACAACTACATTCAACACAATCATCTTGGCTTAGTGTTAAATTAAGGCTTTAAAGGAGTAGGCAATATCAATTCAATTCTATCTAATGGTGCATATAAAAATGTGTACAAGTGAGTGTGCACATGCACATGTCTATATACAAATGTAATACCCAATCTAAATATTTTATACAAACAGAATGGCAACAGACCACACACACAAATACACAAAGGAAAGGAAAGTAAAGGAAAGAAAAATGCTTCCTCCTAGCACCTTCACGAAGCATTTTGTATATTAAGATCATCATTTGTGAGAAACATATTACGTGTTGCAAGTTCCGTTTCCTTTTTCCAATTCAACAATGCTATTCCTGCCAAAAGATTTCTCCTCTTTCCTTTTCATTGTCAATCAGTTATGTTGTGTTTGGATCTTAAATTTGTGAGGTGATTTGAGGTGGGAAAAGAAAACCGAAGAGAATAGTAGAGGAAAAAAAAAACAAATCCTTTCCTTTTCTTCCCCCTCCACAAATTCCTCCATTAATCCAATATCCAAACAAAACCTTAGAGAATCAATGAATTCTGCATTAACAAAATAACAAGGCAAAAGGCTGTTTTATCAGTCTTTCATAAAGATTCAACTACACATCTAAGTCAGCCTTTACTAATTTTGGTCATATTATTTTCACATTCTTTCATTACTGTTTATTATAATCATGGAAAGTTAGCTAGCTACACCATTTTGTAACAATTTAAACTCTGAACAAAGATAAACACACACACACACACGAGGGTATATGTGTATGTGGTTAATAAATGTATGTATGAAGCAGTATAAAGATGGAATCTTTACAGAAATATAAAAGTAAAATGTGAGTGAAATTAAACAAAATTGTGGATCTAGCACTTAAACTAAAGGAACTTACTGGAATAAACACCCAGTACTTGTCGAATTCGAGAAGCGTTGATCTTCAATGTCCAGAGAGAGCGAGAGAGATAAGGGTTTATCGCTGTTTGGGTATTCAGGGGTTTTTTTTTTGGGTCCCTAATTTTTGTTTCTTCTAATTGACGCAGCAAAGTGAATGTCTTGCTTCACGTGCCGGTGAAACAGACATGTACGTTTTTATTTTCAGAATATGTTTTTTTGTGAAAATACTAAAAATTAATTTAGTAAAAAAAATAATAATAAAAATTAAAAAAATCTTCTTTCTTTTTATACGAAAATAAAATAGAGTGGTCTGTCACTCTACTTTAACCCTATAGGGCATGTTTGATTGGGTGGATTAAAACATGAGATTTGGATTATTAATTCGTGAGCCCAAGTATCCTACGTTTGTTTTAACATTTTGATTTAAGATAATTAATTCAATGGATAATTAATCCAACAAATTTGTAGGATTATTAGTAATAGGGTAGGGGTGAGATTATTAATCCAATGGATATTAATCCAATTGGATAGTGAATGCCATACTAATTTAATAAGATTATTAATACTTCACTATTAATTTTGTGAATCAAACATGACCATATAATATTGTTTGGGTGGCCTTAGATCTACACACTCTCTCTCTATATGTTTTATTTATTATGTAATTAGCGTATGTCCGTGCCTAAAGGCACGGTGTAAATAATTTTAAGATTAAAATGTAATTATAATTTATACGTATTATGTTGAAATTTGTAAAGTTTGTGTCATTTTTGATAAAGATACTGAAAAAATATATTAAAATATTTTTCTTCTTAAAGAACTTATAACAATTTTGCTTGTATTACACACTCTACAAAACTCAAATAAAATACAGCTCCCCCTAATCTTAATGCAAATTAAGAAACAAACATATAGGATTTAAAATTATATTGCATATCAAAATATAAAAGGCCGTAAAAAAAAGTGTAAACACTGAACAAAAAACAGAAATAAAGTTATACTGTCATACACCAAAAGAGTAGGTTAAAACTTTACAAAAAGTGGGTTAAAGTTTTACAAAAGATGTATGTTTTACAAAAGATGTGTCACTAACATGCCATACACCAAAAATTATATTGTCATACACCAAAAATATGTATGCTTTACAAAAGATGTGTCAATAACATGTCTTCAAATATGCATTTGCTCAAACTTCCTCCTCATTACTTTCTAAAAAGTCTTTGTATCAACTTTTATGTATCCCCAATGAGGAATATGCACAACAATCTAGTAATTTGTGGAAACAAAAAAAATATAGATTAGTACATTTGTTGGAAATATACATGTCGAAATACTTTGGATGTGTTTGGTAACGTTTATGTTTTCAGTTTATATTCACAAAAATTTTATAAACTGGTTTTTGTTTATTTTTTGTTTATTTTTAGAAAAATATAAACTACAAACACGTTTGGTAATTGACAAAATATTTAAAAAAATTTAAAAATATAAAAAATAGTGAGAAATGGCAAGTGGTGGCAAGTGGTGGCGAAAGACGGTGGTGGAAAGTGGTGACGGTGGGTGGTGGGTAGCTGGTGGTGATGGGTAGTGGAGGCAAAAGATGTGTCAATAACATGTCTTCAAATATGCGTTTGCCCAAACTTCCTCCTCATTACTTTCTAAAAAGTCTTTGTATCAACTTTTATGTATCCCCAATGAGGAATATGCACAACAATCTAGTAATTTGTGGAAACAAAAAAAATATAGATTAGTACATTTGTTGGAAATATACATGTCGAAATACTTTGAGATTGAAATTACCTTATTACATCCCCATTGAAGCAAGGTAGTCGTATTTCTCCATTTAAGCTCCATAGATTTTTCGGTCCAATCCTACAAAAGTCCAAATTTCAAAATATTATTAAATTGAAATTTTTTAAAAGTTTATATAATCAACAGACATAAATGTACGTGGTTGCCTTCTAATAAAACGTCATTTAATCTGCATAAAATACTACAACAACACTTCCGGATAAACAATATTTGTAGTATAATCCAACTTATCTTTAGAGAGGAGAATACTTATATGATCAAAGGATGTACATCTAGACAATGCCACATATAATTGCCCATGGCTAAACACTGGTATACGCAAATCAACCCCAACAAATTTCACAGATTGTCCTTGAGATTTATTAATGGTCAAGGCATATGCTAATCGGACTGGAAATTGACGTCTTGTCATTTGGAAACGCATTTCTGAAGAAGATGGTGTAAAAGATATCCTTGGTATGAATGCCAAATTGCCAAACTTTTCTCCAGTTAAAATTTGAGCTTCAATTATGCGAGTGCCGCACCTAGTAACCATCAATCTTGTACCATTACATAGTCCATCTTTCGGTGCAATGTTTCTCAACAATATTATAGGGCAACCCACTTTCAACTCTAACTTAAAAGTTGGTAACCCAGGAGGATCCAATGAATTTAAATATTCATTAGGATATCTATTTGTAATGGTAGGATCAATTTCATTATCTTCAGATATTTTATCTGCTGCAAGATAAGTATATAATCTCCCTGGAAAGATATTCAACGCAGTAGTATTAATGTCACTGACATCATCGTTACGCGCAGACAGAATTGTGCGTTCAGTTAAAAATGTTGGGGTTGACGTCTCTATCATATTCAATTGTGGATAAACTGTAAAGAGTAATTCATTCAAATCTTGACATTTGTGTATTGTTAATGGAAGGTTAACGATTTCTTGAGGATTGATCCTAATCTAAAAAAAAGTGAAATCAATAAAAAAGTAAGTGTAAACACAATTTATTAATTTAAAATAATCTATATAATACAGGTTAAAGTAGTGTTACCTCCATCAAGAAATTTGCAAAATTAGCATTTTCATGGCCTTCATGATTCAAGCGCATATTCAAATCCATAGTCAAGATATATATATATATATATATATGCTTCCATAGAACAGAGTGTCTTAATGATGCATTCACAATTTGCTCACGAACTCCTTTGGGTATAACTGGTAAGATTTGTCGAAAGTCTCCTCCAAGAACAACAGTAATACCCCCAAATGGCTTTTCACTATCACAAATATCCCTCAATGTGCGATCAACCGCCTCAACACAATGTTTATGTTGCATAGGAACTTCATCCCAAATTATGAATTTTGTTTCTCTAAATAACTCAGCTTGTAATGATTGTTTACTAAACCCACAAAGTGAATTTTTCAATACATCTAACGGAATAGAAAATGTTGAATGTGCAATGCGACCTCCTACCAGTAACAGTGATGCAATTCCAGACGAAGCCACAATAACAACGATATGCCCAAGGCTACAACATTTTAATGCAATCGTATTGTATAGAAATGTTTTCCCTGTTCCTGCACCCCCATTCAGAAAGAAAGCAGTTCCTTTATTTTGGAAAACTGAAGAAGTAATTGTATTATAAACATTCCGCTGTCCATTATTGAGACAATCAATAGTAATTTGTGGATCTGCATGTTGTGCCTCACTCTGTGGCTGTTGATGTTCAACTATCAATCGATTACCAACTACTGCACTCCAATTTGCAGTAGGTTGTGGCACGGGTGGGAATTCAATTAAACTTTTGCCTGATTCATGAAGCATTTGATTTAAAAGATGGAGACCATAATCTTCAATTTGAGCCTCAGTTGGTTTAGAAATGACAAACAATGTACAAATCTTATGTGCAAGATCGTCACATATATGCGTTGAAAATTGATTCCATAATGGTGAGAATAATACTAAACAATCTCCTCAATTGATATCCAGTTTTTATGACTGCAGCCTCGTTCAAGCATTGTATCCATTCTTCATCATCTTCTAAAAGCCCCCTTGCAACACATGCTAATTTAAATGTATTGTAATAACCTGACCCTCATATCTGTTTCTGGCATACTTTCGGTCTTTTAATCTGTGCATTTAATTGTTTACTGTGAAATTGCGTGCGAAATAAAGTTTAATTAAGCAAAACTTATGATTATTGATTCATATCTGTTTAATAAGGATGCATCTGTCACAATTAAAATGTTGGGATCAGAAATTGAGAGCCTTAGAGGCTAGATAATCCGAAATCGATTTTACATTTGAAATCAGCATAATTTTTAGGTAATAATAAGCATTTCTATGAAATTTCAATTTGGGATGATTAAACGATTGATTTTCGTCCTATTCACCTTTTATATATATGTGTATGTACCAAGCCTCTTGAAACATTATGACTTAGAAGCTTCATCTCAAAATATCTCCTGAGAGAAAAGGTTAGAGTAGAGAAGGGTTTGAGAAGTAGAGGAAGAAGGTCATCAAGAAGGTTGGGAATTTGAGGGACTCAAGCCTAAGGTAAATTTATTCATCACCTATGATTCTTCTTTTGAATTTGAGATTGAATTTAAGACGGATTCCTCACAATCATGTGGGTTAGGGTGTGAAAGGGAAGTTAGTATTTGATTCTTGCTTAATTTGGAACATGGGTTATTACTTCGGTGTTTTGGAACTACCTTGGTGTTAAATGCATGGGAAGTTACACTCTATTCCTTCTATTGACATGTTTGAACTCAAGTATGTGGATATAGCCATGTGTGTATATGTCTATGTGTGTATGAAGTTAGAGTCTCGCGAATTGAGTTATGTTTTGGTTATGGAATAAAGATCTAGTTATATTTAGATCATTATATGTTGTACCTCCTAATTACATGATTTTTATACCATGTTTTAGCAATTAAAGGATCTCTTTTGGACCTTGTTGATGCCCACCAAAAATTGGATTTTGTATGAATTTTGGACTGTCAAACAGGGGCCAGGCCGCACGTGCGGAAGAGAGGAAGAAAAATTGGGTTTGCATACTGTTTTTGGCCGCTCGAGCGGAAGAGGGGCACCGCACGTGCTGTCCATGTCCGCAAGTACGGAGGGGATGGCTGCACGTGCGGCCCAGGTTGGGAAAATTTGCCTGCTCCGTTTTACGTGCTTATCCCTCAGATATTTTTAAAATATGTATTTGAAGCTGTTTTGATATCTGTAAATTCGTGTGAAACAAAACGAACCCGAAAATGATTAATAAAGGAAAAGGAAATAATTCATGAGTTGTGTATGTATGCAGGCCATACTCCAGGAATGACTAACGCTCTGTCACAACACTATGAGT